ATAGTATATATATATATATATATATATATATATATATATAATGGGGAATAACCGTGAGTTTTCCTCTCACAATCGTTGTCGGTTAAACTTAATAAAATTTACTGCAAGGTTGACGTTTGGCCGGCAGGAACGAACTCTTGATGTGAAGCATTCAAAGGCGAAATACCCTTGATCTGTGGCGTAATGTGATGCGGAATTTACCATTATTTAATGGAACTAAAGTTGCCGAATCTTTGAATGATTTTTTGGCATCAGTATCCATCGGCTACAGTCGCTTTAAATTAAGTCATTCAAAACAAATAGTAGTGAAACAAATTTCAGTTTGAGCGATATGTTGCATATCAGTTAAAGTGGACATTATACCAATAACTTATTCCATAGTCCGCATATTTAAGCTTTGTTTAGTGAATCCACTTTGCAGCAAGGACAGTTTTTGAATGTCGGCCACAAACGATGGCTTTTTACTGATATGTATACCTGCTTGTTAATCATATTTTTTGATCCAACTTGTTCGTGCGTAGACAAAAAATCGGGGTCAACGAAATGAACTTTTGTGTTTGTCCAAACTAATGAAATAGTAATGAGGTATGGCAAACTCTAAAGATGCCACCTTGCATATTTTCAAGGTGAGCAAGCCGGAATAAAGACGACTCTACATCCAGCCCATGAGCAAAGACATTTAAACGACCTATGATGTAATGAGCAAAATGAGTAGAGAATAGGTACAAACTCACCATCGAGTTCTCCAAACGAGTAAAATGAAAATGGCCACCATGATCAAAACAATCGGTGTTACGATTGCAGCCGCAATGACCGCTGTATACTAAAGTGGAGCAGTGAGCGGTAAGCATTATTTTTACAGCTAAGCGGAGCGAAAATCTTGTCGGACAACTCGGCTTACGTCTGGTTCTTCGCAGTGCTGTCCCTTCCAACCACTCGAACAGAGGCAGTTGTAGCCGAACTCGATGGGATTGTCCTTGCACACGCCACCGTTTAGACATACCTCAGTGCTGGAGTTGGTGCCACTGGCAAGGGCTTTCCTCTCCCACGCGCAAGCCGAGTGCCTCTGATCGCAAGTTGGACCGTACCATGGCTCCTCGCACTCGCATAGAAACTGCTCAAGGTGCGGCCCAGTCTTTGTACAGCCACCTCCATTATGGCAGGGCGATGGATTGCATGGATCGTGCACTTGATAGCACTCTGGACCTTAATGAAGGAGCAATTTTTGAAAGGTTATTTGAATGCATTATGCATTCCCAAAGTACATAATCCACCAAAGACAAAAATAACTCATGCAAATTTTGCTTAAGAATAACGATGCGTCAAATAATTAACCACGCTAGTGTGGGCAGGGCTTACCACTGCCGCCGTTGCAATAGCAAACGCGTCCTTCTTCGTCATCCGTATTAGAACAACTTGCGTATGGTGCACAGGGCTTCAGAAAGCACGTATCCAATTTGTGACAGAGTTCTCCATACCAACCTGCAATTCATCAATAAACCAAACAGACACCTACCAATTGCACAAAATCAACATCAACTCAATTGCTGCTAAAAATCACCTTGCTTATAATCAACTGCACGTTTGTTCTAGAAGCTGTATTTGTGGAACTCTCCAATGAGAAATTTGATGTGTGGCCAGTAGTTACGATGAGGGAACATTTCATCTAGGACTGCACTGAACATCTCCATACACGGTCAAATTCAAAAATAAATCTATTCCACTGACTTCAAATTATAAACGCATTCACAAGGTAAGGAAGTCGACTACTGCGAATGCCTTGTAGTGCTAATTGAACCTGTTAACGAGTTTATCACTGGCACTCAGTAATATGCTTTGGAAGGCGAGACATTGCGCTGAAGCTTTCACACAATTCCATTTGAGGTGCAAAATAAATCTAATTACGGTTTTTTAAAGAGAAAACCAAACTCAGCACTATTCGCGGTTTTGGTTAAAATTGGATCTGGCGTCATTACATCACGGCAGATAACTCGAGTTTACCATGGAACAAGCGTCTGTGGCTCTATTAATGCAATAATGGAATAGTTTAAACACTTAATAAATGTTTTGAACAATTGAAATTTATAAAAGCAATCATTGTTTCAGAATTGTCTATTTCTTTGCGAATTGTTTCCAAAATGATTTATTTAGATTTGCTAATCTTAAATGATTTATCTCTAGGTGATTTCTCAGATCAGTATCTCTGAAAACTTGCAAAGAAAATGTGTAGGTCATGTGCTCCTTAAAAGTAAGGATTAGTTCTTTTCAATTAAAGTAAAATTTAAACAACACTGGTAGCTGGAGTCCAGTTATTTCCCCCATCTTTATGACTCCAAATTGTGCGTGTAGATTCAATCTTTCTTAGTTGATAGGTTACTTTGTTCTTTAAACACAGACGCAATCAATAGCTTTTTAAATATCTGTGGAAGACTTTATGTATTACGTTAAAAATGAACCTCAAATGACAAGGGTAACTTTAGAATCCTCATTTGAAATCCTGTGTTTGATAGGCCCCGACGATTAAGTTTTCCTTATACAGAAATGAGGCAGCATAGTTGCTCAAATCTTTTGGTTATAGGTGAAATAGGAGAAATACTGACCTGGAATACATTTGCGTTCACCATTTTCTCCACAGTAGAATGACTGATAATCGGGCTTGCAGTACGTTTCGCATTGCTCGCCATAATAATGCGAAGAACATGTAAGTTTAATCGATGCCTCGATCCTAGAATAGTAATAAATGAGCGGTAATGCATAATGGTCATTTTATTTCAAATTTGTATATTGACATTCATATCGTATCGCTCAAAACAACGTATTCCTTGTGTTTGTACTTAACGAAGAATTTCATCTTTGAAATAGATAAAAAATACAATTAACCATCGCAATAGCTCAATATTCTGCTACATGTAGGTACATTCAATTTAAAGTCGTTGTGCATTCTCCACGTACTGTACATTGGGGTGAATGTTAAAATGTAGACATAGGAGTATGAAAGTGCAGTATACCCATCAAGCCACCCGAGCCTGATAGCATTATTGTGAAAGCTAACCATTCATAGTGATTCAATAAAAGACGAGGCCTATTTGAGAGAGGAAAAGTATTTCATTAAATTCGCAGCAAATGCGCATTTCGATAAAACCCTTCCATTCACGTTCATTTACAGTCTTGACGGGGTTTTAGCTTCATCAAGCAAAAAAGTCATTTAACATTGGTTGCGACCTCACTCAACGCAGAACGTTACCATGAGACAGGTGTTTTGGTCGAGGCAGGAAGGAATTTCACACAGAACGAAGTCAGGTGAACATTACAAATACTGCTTTGTAATTAAAATATCAAGAATTAAAAGGTGCTTGCCATACGCAGTTTTATGGTTCGAAATCATTTTGTGAACAGCTTAATACCCTACGCAATATAAACAAGCTTAGGTAATATCAGACGTTTACATCTGCCCTCCTTTAAGGTCTTGATAAAACAGGACATCACGTCTAGTAAGGAAAGAATTTAATTGCTTCGTATAGATACGTAAAGATGGTCTTGTATACAATCAAAAAGGCTGTTCGTATTTAATGAATAGCTTTCACGCTAACAATTTTAACCTCGTCTCAAAGTTGGATTCAAATGCAGATGGGGGAGAGAATTCACAAACTGGAACTTTACTTAACCAAATCCAGAATTTCCGTTTTTGGCAAATCATTTTATTTGTGGCATTGAAAAGATGCAGAGTATATCTTATTGTTGATGAACGAGCAAAACATAAACCTACTTCACTTCTGTGTTGTAAGATGTTTCTTCCTTCTTCGATAGTTCAATGACCTGAAAATCAGCGTGACTGGAAACTGGCATCGCGGTGGAGACAAACTTCGCGATGAGGTCATCTGAGGTAGACAGATCCGAATCCCAAGCTTCAATGCGCATTTCGATTAATTTCTTCAGGTTTTTAAGTAAAATGTAGACATTTTAATTCAAATAGAAAATAAATCTCGCGAATAAGAGAGTGAAGGAGGTAAACTTACTGGTATGCTCTTAAAGAGAGGGAGTTCAATCATTTCATTTATTTTCGATTGCGAACCAATTACATGCGTTGTCTTCTTGGCTACGTTGCACTCAGTAGGAGGGCTTAATTGAAACGAAAAAAAATTTATTATCATAGTTTGCAGGTTAGTTACAAAGTGATAAGAATTTATGAGGTGAAAAAGGTATGAAATATTGTGCATTTCACCCATCAGCAAGCAGTGAGATATTAGCCGTTGTTCGGAATACTCTAGTTGAAGCGTCAAACGAACCACACCTCCATAAAGAAAAAGAATACTATTTAAATACGTGATGCTCAAATGATCAAACCCTCGAAGTCCAGCAAAATATTTGGCTGACTCAGTGTGGGACTAGGCATGACATTTCCTCATCGCGTCGAAATAACAATTGGATGTAGAAATAGCTCTTTAACACCTGACCTGCTTTTGCCAAAATCGTGATATCAAATCGTGATATCAAATTCTCACTTGTCATACGAATTAAGCGCAGGAAGAAGATTGAACCATACTGCATGAACTCGAAGAGTGACCAGCTCTGATCGAACATGAAATTCATGAAAACAAGCTGTGGTCACACAGAGTAAAGGATCCCTTCAATATAAATATACACCCATTACTTGCGCAGACGTTGGATGTGGGCAATAAAACCATTTGCGAAACTCCATTAACTTGGGGTATTAATAAAATTTTACTAATGTCGAAAACGACAAAAAAACAGCTTACGGCTTACCTCTGATCTGCACTCCATATGCAAATGACAAAGTAGACATCGCATGTGCGTGCGAATACGTCGCACCAACCCAAGCTGGAGTAGTGTCCTGGGTTCGCATAAGCTAATTCCAACTCGAGTTTTCCAGGCACATCCTGCTGGACAGAAGTAAGTCATTATCAGACTCGTTGGGTGACTCACAAAACAGCGTGGAACGGCATGACAATGATAATTTCAGTTAATTGACACTTCATTCCACCTCTTATGAAATCGACGTATAAGCATTTCTAGTGTTTCAGCATTTCTTAAACATCCATAGACATGTCTGCCTCAAAGCACTTTTGTAGTAATCATAAAAGAATTTTATCAACGGGAGAAACTACTTTTTAAGTAAACGGCATTTAGCACGTGATAACCGCGTTCTCGCAACAACTAATCAAATGTACAGCTTTATTCCCTTATAAACGGGTAATCTCATTTGGCAAGTGGTAGGTAAGATGAAGTTAATTTTTCATCAATCGCCTCAGATATTTTATGCTACCAAAATCTAGCTGTCATTATGGAATCTTACCGTCGAATGACTTTTGCAGTTGCAGAGGCGCACTAATGGAAGGAGAAGTGTCACAATGAAGAGCATCTCAGTTCCATTTATGCAAAAATGTGGCGAAACTTTTTGATAAAGTGGCTTATCGCTAAAATAAACGGGCGGAATTTGAGAGCACTTGAACTAAGTCGACGAGCGCCAATAAAATGCGCCGTCAGTGTTACTGCAACCAATAAACCTACGAGCTAACGAAAGTGACGTGCAGGCATATCGCAACGCCAGCACTAGATTCCAACGGCTGTTTACATGAAGTAGGGCTGGCATGGGCTTGAATGTTTTGAGATATTGCTTGTTTCATAAAATATTTCTTCAGGATTTAATCACCGATTTAATCAGTATAAACCAAGGTTGTACAATAAGGATACATTAATTTGCTAGAAGAAATAATAACTTGTAACGCTCCAAGATTTCCCTGAGGACGAAAGACGACTATATACTCTACACATATATATATATATATATATGTGTAGAGTAGGAGTTGAGGTTACTGGAATGGCCCAGAGGCCGACCCATCCAGTGAAGATGCAATGGCCATGTTACCAAGTGGTCCTTTACCAGACGTGTTAGTGGTTGTTTACCAACGCGTTGCATAACTGTCTCTAAATACCACTGAACGAACGCGGAAAAGTCATTTAATAGTTATAATGGTACCAGTTTAACCATTAGCGTAATTTTTAAATAAGTTCCTTCGCTTTAAATACGCATTTTGTCCAAAAATATGATTATCATACAACAACAAACAGTAAACCGAAATTTAATGCTCCCTAATTTTTAACAATTTTAAACAGATATTTTTAGGCGATGGTGTACCATTTTACGTTCACTCTTTATGGTAAGCATTAAAAAGTACCTTCAGCCTAACTGACATCTGAAGTTTTAACACTCAATAAAGGTGGTAGTCGGTGAACTGGTTTTGCCACCTTGAGGTAATTAAGTGGCTGTGCAGAGATTGCATTTTCAATTAATACTTTACAAAATTATGCCGACCACTTTTAAGCTTACAAGTCAATCACAATTAAAGGTAATTCATTAGCGTTTTGTGTTTAATGGAAATGTGGCAAATGCAAACTGTTCCTCATAAGTGCAAATCGCGTTTACTTAGTTAGATGGTAATACTTGCTTTTATCTTTCTTTAATTCTAGCCTCTAAATGGCCGCCGTTGAGCAGATGATCAAAGGAATAGGCCGTAAGCAAATTCGTAATGTTCATAGGCATTTACGAAAAATCTGCACTTATTCTCAAGGAATCACGCGCAATCGCTTCCTCCAAGAGTAGTGCTTGGAAAGGTTCAGCCATTACTTCGCCGTCTGCTGTCAGAAACTGTAACCACTTGTGCACAATTGGATCAACTTTTAAAATAAGCCACATTCTGCTAATATAATGCATTTTGAGGGGATTTTCCTGATTACAGTGCTTTTCACTTATGTGGGATTCTTACATCGCGGAATATTCAGAGAGGGCTTTGTTTGGGTATTGTAACAAAACATTTGAATCATATTATAGCATTTTCCAACAAACCGAATGCGTAAGTTGACTAAAAATGTAATCTAGCTCACTAACCAGTATGCTTCTCGATCCATCTACGGAAGTCTCTCTTCATCATCTATTGTGCGCTGGTTTACAACTTCATGTCACTCGTGCACGCGCGCATCCTGTGCAGCATCGACCATCGGTGGACTGCCTTTGTGTTTATATCAGGCGCAATCACAACATAAACTCTCGCCTCTGCTGTATCGTCAACACACTATTGCCGTGACCAATACACTACTCCCCCCAATTGATAAAAAATGCTCGAAAATGCTTCATTAAAGTCCTTTCCTACTGACACATTCACATACATTCATGCTGGCGGTTTTCTGTAAATTAACCTAAATTAAATTCCTACTGGGCTAAAAGCTTCGCTTAAATTCCACAAACACAATCACTAAAGGCTTATGTCTTTAACTATCCGGAGCAAGGCTGCATGGAAACTTGTTAAAGGTTACATAATGAGCATTTATAAAGCCATGTGAAGGCTCAATTCCACCTTCGGTGTACGTAATACAACTGAGCGGTTCCATAAAGAGTTGCATTACCTGTCAACCGTGCCAAGCATTTCACAGAATACTATAGTGATCAACCAGAATAGTAGGCTCAATGGGGGATATGTAAGAGGGCTGAATTGGTAATACTAATATTTCAGTAGTTTTATCGATATCGATACAAAATTCGCCCACCCGAAGACACTCCATCTTATTTTTTGGTTGTTCACTGTGTCTGAATTGCAAAATTGTTTGATACCTCAGAAAACATCTGTGGAAGGATATTTACGACCTGCCTATCAATTTTAAAACATTATCCTCATACAAACAATAGTTGCCAAATCACTTATTCAGCATGAGTACATGCATAGAGTTTGAGCGGCCTTTGTATGTATTTTTACTCCTACAACTTAATCTTTTGCAGATGTTTAATAAAACAGATATGGGATCTGATGATTAAATATCTATGACATCGGTGTTTTCTACATTTAATCGAGAAATTCGTGCAAAATATATTTGCAATCGCATCATTTGTTGGCGGCATACTGTCCATCTCTGCTAATCATTCACAACAAATCAGGATAAAAAGTAGTAGTTGTAAAATAAGGAAATGGGTATTGAATGCGTTTGTCACGATGACCGGTTTCATTTTTTTGCGATACGGAGTAGCTTCGTGAGAGTTGACTCTCCGCTCTCAACAGAGCGTTTCGGAAGACCATTTGGATTTTGAGAGTTATGTTCCTCCCCTTCTAATGCAGTCAAAAAGTCCGAAGTTCGCGGAGTCAGGAGCGGCTGCCGACTGTACACTGACTCCGACCGCGGGGATGAAAATGAATCGCGGTCCTGGGAGATCAAAGTGTTATACGACTTCGGCAGAGGCGCCAGACTGTCTGGCCGAACCGGCAGCTCTGGTGGTGGTTTCTCCTCTATAGAAATTTCATAATCATTTGAGGTGGAAGTGCACAAATCGCCTTCTCTTGACGAAGGAGATGTGACTGTGCAATATTCGTAGAACTGCTGAGTGCTGTCGGCATTCTGTGAATCCACTGCATCGCTCATTATGACGTAATTGCAAAAAACATCCTTGAAGGGAATACGTTCAGTAACTGGACACTTTGCACCACCATGACCGTAGACGAGTGGTTCGATGGGGATCTGTGGTTTTCTAACACGTAACGTGTCGGAACATATGTAATGTGTTTGGACAGCTTAAAAACGAATTTAAATAAAGACGAATGATTACCTTCGTCGGAGTACTCGCAGTCGCAAGCAACAAGGAACAATCGCACATAGGAGTATCACAACCAGACCCGATACAACACATCCTGCGATAATCGCGTTGGTCCACTACAAATGTCAAGTTTTAGTGTCAAAGTGTTCATTGACATTGGGCTATAATTAATTATAAAACTACATAATTGATAATTGAACAATATTAATGCCAAAGTGGGTTTTTTACCAACGCGACTTCGCCGTTGGCTTTGTGCTTGAGAATTCAATGCACCCGCTTGCCCAAAGGCAGGGCATGTTGAAGATTTGTTTGTTTAACTAGTATTATTTGGAACACTACTTGAAACCCTAAACATCATTGTGTCAAAGCTATGTCGTTAAACTTTCCTTTATATTATAACTTGGTGCAATTTAATTATTAACAAGTGAGTGAGTTACAATTCTTAAACTTGGAAATTAAGGTTAATTTTGGGGAAAGTGGAATCTTTGATTACATAAAGATATAATTAGGGAAAATAGCAATATATGTATGCATAATTTAAAAGGGTGTTTACATCTGGAATCGTGCACAATTCGCCTTTCCAACCACTAGTGCAGTTGCAAATGAACTTAAAGTCCTCCATTAGATCCACACAGAGTCCGCCATTTTTGCAGACACTGACAGACCTACTGATGCTGTTGCCACCGGAGGAATAATTGTCCTTCTTGTACATTCCAAAGAGGTCTTGAAGATCGGCATTAGCCAATTTCTGGCTGGCTACCTCACACGGCGATCGTTGCACGTGACACAATTTTCCAGTCCACTGAATTGGACAGTTGCAAGTGAATGCGTTGTGCTTTTCCCCAGTCCTAACACATTGACCCTGATTTTCGCATGGAGATGGGACGCAGGGATTGTAGCCAGCATAGCAATGAGCATCTGCCACAAAGGAAATATAGCAAATCAACCTCTACTTCCCAAGCTACTGTTGCTCCAACTGGAAAGGGAGAGGGGTCGTTGGGTAATTCAACCAGAAAGTCGGAAATTAACTGGTTTTGATAAGTTCTTCGGAAGAAAGTCATGTAACTTAAGAAAGGTATCAGATATCACTAATTTTCTTAAGCGAAATGTGACTTAAAAGTTAAACTGAACGTTTGTGCAAGGTATGTTTGACTTCATTAGTAGACTTTTGATTATGGTTTGGTGAATATTTTGTTATATGGACCAACAGAAAGATTCTGATTTCTTGGAGCAAAGGTTATTAAGTTTCAACTGTTTCATACACACTCACCCTCACTTCCCCCACAAATGCAGTTGTAGCCAGTTGGAGTATCCACATTTACACATTCAGCTCCTGGAATACATGGTTTGTAGAAACAAGCGTCTGGTTTCTCACAAAACTGTCCACGAAAACCTATTTATCAAAACCGTAAGAAGCGTAAGCGCTCATCCCTCTTTTGGGCAAATTACAACATAAGAGCAGCACTTTCTAACCCCATTATTAAAAAATACCCTTTTAGGATTAGGGAGATTTGCGTCAACGAACAAACGCTTTCGTAGTGATATTCTCAACCGCTCTCAAAACACTCTGGAAATTCTTATTTTACGGAATGGTTAATCATACATCTGTGAGAATAGTGTTTTAATTTCAACTGCAAAATCATCGACCAGCACCATCACTAAAGGTGGAAGTTTGGGAATTTATGTATCATGATCGAACCTAAGACTCAGAACTCCCACAAAATACTCTCCAAATTTCACATTAAAGGACTGAATCAGGCCCAAGTAGCCTGATTCTATGGCAGTGTATGAGGATTCACTTGCGCTGCTGAGCATAGCAGGTTAAGAAATCATCGGCTGAAAACCAACATTTCAATTTCACAAAATTGAAATAACATCACTTTTGATTCGATATGGAAATAAAAGCAGCTAGAGTCTGTCAGTCATTAATTCGTTTTAAAAGTCTCCTAGAGAAGTTGATACTAAAAAGGCGCTGGGTATTTAAGAAGGACTCCGTCATTAGTTCCCAAATTGTCATTGCTGACACTGTTATTGCTACATTTGGCACGCTTACCAGGAAGGCATACGCTCGTTCCGTTTTCATGACACCCCAACATACTGGGGTATTTCTCCGGAAAACATTCAATCGAGCATCTCTCTCCGTAGAAGCCTTTTATGCATTCCACTGCCAAAATTGCTGTGATACTATGGAACAGAAAACAATCTTTGGAAACCGGATCACTGTTTCGCATCCACATTTCCTAAGCTTTCAAAAATCCTGAAAGCATACTTTTTCAATGCAAATTATTATCCCAAATTATTAAAATGAAGAGTCCAGTTATTTCGATATGCACACATTCGACACTGTTTACTAGATAATCTCATCTTTTTGTACGAATTTAACAAAAACGTCCCAATCTCCCCTATCCTTTAGTAAAATAATTCTTTCTACCAAAAACAATTTATTTAGGGAATCAAAATTGCATTTATATTGCAACAACCAATACCGTTGATTCGATCTTTCAAGCCTGAACAACAGTTAAAGACGTTTGTAAACCTTCCACGCCCCATATATAACGCATGTTTATCAAAGTGACTTGATCAGACATGCCCACTGCAGAAGTAATGTATCGCTTAATTGAACACTTTTAAGGTTCAAATGTTTTAATGTAGGCAAAGTGAAGATTCATGAACACCTACTTTACATGTTCGTTGTGGCCTGTACTTTCGGTCTTGACGAGACCAGCGCTTATAATTGTATTTGGAACCGGAACTTCTACGAAATGATTTCCAAAGATAGCAATGAGATCGTGAGATGTAAAGCGATCGTTATCGTAGGCCGATATCTCAATTTGAATGCTTTTCTGTAGACAAAATAGGGAATAAAAGCCTTTTAAAAGGTGATAGAAGTATTAACCAATTTCTGCGTCAACTGTGTTAAAATGAGTCCCGTACGTAAATAAGTACTTCACGAGCCAATTTCGCAGCAAATAATTATTTTCTAATAAACAATTTCATCTAAGAAATTTCATGTTAAAGTTAAGGCTTACTGGAATCGGGTATCTCAGGGGGATCCGAAACGCGTCCTTTCCGGCATATTTCACGTGCGATTTATCATAGTGAGTTTCAGTCGAGGTTGAGTAAAGGTTACAGTCCGTAGATCTTTTGGAATAAATATTCAAAAAGGTCACTATCGTTACATCGAAAGTTTATTTCGTTTAAGAGAGAAAGAGGAAACTTTTCGCTCTAAAACCGATCGCAGCTTTCTTGAATGTCTTTATTTAATCTGCTACTGCACTTATAACCACATATACACCCAATGAATTTAATTACTTCGTCTTAAAGTAAAAAAATTAGTTTCATACTGTTGACTCTATAGGTTTCAGGAGAAAATACTTAGTGGACTAGCAGATGATTACGGTAGCATATCACATGGATAAATTTATATTCGTTTGGTCACAAAGTACGTTTCCATTCTGACCCAGAAGAGTCTCGTGGAGTTACCCTGGCATCTAATGCACAGCACATGGTAGATACCTGCTGCTGCATTATCCCATTTGTTCAGAGAAACTGAAACTCTTGCAAATTCGTGAAATGTGCAATTTCTGATGAAACAAAGTTCATGACACCAGAGTTAGATCAAAGTACAAACAAAAGTAAAGAAAACTAGGCTCCGAAAAATCGTTCCTTTCATTCAAAATAGTCCTTTTAGAGCATTAGTGGTGCCGAATTAGTCAAGTTTACGAATTTACTATGAATTCTTTCCCTAAAAGAATAGCGAATATCGAAATTACGATAAGACTTGTTGAAGTGGAGAACTGCGTATTCAGGGGTTTTTCATTCAACCTTTGTCTTTCCATGGAAGGATTGAGCGCCCCATTTAACTAAACGCTTAGTTTACATTGAACGCTTGGGTTACCTTAATCAGTACTGAAACTGGGTGCTGTTCGTTTTGGTGACCTCGGCTTGTTTTGCCAATGAGGAAGACATGAAATGAACTTATTCATGTTAAAGTTGACGAGTGGATTTTGGCTCCAGGATTACGTTTACGAATCACACAAGTCAGGATTGGGTAAGAAAGCACTCAGAAATGAACATACGAGTTCAAAGAAGTGACGCAAATGTTGAAGTAAGTGTCACACCAGTTATCGTTGAACGATCGGTCGCAGTAACCATCGGCGGCCTCGTGTTTTGGATTGGTGTAGTACAAGGAGAGGCGAAGGTCCGCGACCACTTTCTTTATTGGTATGAATTATAAAAATCCGCGTAACATTGAGATAGAAGCGGAAGCCATGAGAAATAGCTAAAGACGATTCTTTAATGCGAGGATTTATTTTAATTAAGCAGCGGTCTTTTCAGTTAGCAACTGAGCAGCTTACTTTGAGGATGAGAGTGTGTATTGCGAAAACGCCGCAGTAGTGGAAAAATCCCTTCTCAAAGAGGAATATCATTACGGTAGTTTGGAAAAAAACTAAGGTGAGTGTCCCTCTTGAATTCGTGAGCGGGCAAGTTAATATGACCCAAGATTAGTTCACACAAATAAAAACTCTTACCGCTACATGAATTGAGACAATATGTCCATCGGAAATTGAATGGTAGCTTCAGAAAATGAATCTGCGTAAATCGTTCTAGTTTTGAGTCCTTTGATCTGCTCTTTGAGTTAAGCATAGTATCTGTTCACCAATTTAGTTTATTTTTGTTCACACATAAAAATGCCTCTCCCACTATCCCCTTAGTCCTTCATCGACTGATTCAAAATCGAGTTGCGAGTTGCAGATGGAAAGGGATGTGGTTTCGAGAACCCAAGATCTCCCTAGCACACCTCACATTACAGGAATAATTCAATAAGTGACTAAAGTTGTCTTCACTATCTGTAAACATAGATCGCCCTTTATCAAAACTGTCATTTTTGGTCTCATGTACATCACGGGAAAAAATGCACTGCTACTGTTGACGATAGTTCAAGTATTGCAAGATGGTATCGGCGATTAAAATCTTATCAAATTCAACTAAGCACTTAAGATTTTCGGATCCTAGACCGGCTAAATTATAACCGCCTTATATCTAAGGTTAAAACATCGCAAAACTTTCAAACTGAACAATATCCACAGCTGCTTCTGAACTCATCGCATATGGGAGCTAGGACTTTACGCGTACTTTATTAATGACATTATGTGCATGCATGTCAAATGCTTGCGCGTAGCATTGATGTGGAGAAGAGCAGTTTCTCAATCTGAGGCATAAATCTTTCCTTTTGTCTAAAGTGTTTGTTACAGGGTTATTCCTTAGAATGCACATCTCTAAACACTGAAGCTGAGCCTACTTTTTGGTTGCCGATCATATTATGAATACAGCACGATCTAGCTACTATATGGATGACAAGAGTAAAATGTTGGCATGAATGCTCCTTTATTAAAAGTTGGACCGCAATTTTAGCTGCATAACACATCTAGCGTTGAAGTAGTTATACTTGAAACCACATTTTTGGACAAGTTAGTGATATACTACTTTTGATAACTTTTGGAGACCATAAAACATGCACCGTGATTGAAAGAGTTAACAGACATTTGCGACAAATTATTTCCAAAATTGCCTCAACCTACCCCAAGTTGAATAGCTGATACAGATCCATTGATGAGCAACAGCAGTCCGATTAATGCCCACACGCGCCCATTATTCATTGCGAATCTAAAATCAATGCGCTGTATGAATGAGCGTCTACCTCCTGCGTTGACATTGACGCTCAGTCCAGGGGACACAATTATTTACGTTTCATTTGCCGGAGGAATGCGCGACTGAAGGCGCGTGCACACAGCTGATCTGATTGATCTATTTGCAGGAACCAATGGGGACGCCGCATCGGTTATCTATCAAGCTCTTCCCGTTCATCCAAAAGCCTTCGAATTCCAATGTAGGGTGCATGCGGATAATTTAAACACTTTATCGCCTCCATGTCAGGCCTCACGAAGCTTCACTGTCGCCGCAACCACTTCAAACTGCAAGAAATGATCACAGATATTAAGAAAGAGTGTTTATTATCAACCATAACAATGTCGATCAATGGAATCAAAGATATTTTACGTGTCCCTTTGATTGCTTTTGCAAACAAAGAATTGCAAATGATGAATGTGCCATTAGCGGTACAAACAAAATCATAATGGTGGGCTCCCCTTGCGAATTTAGCATATAACTTCGATAACTCATTAGCACAAACCCCATTTCGACTAGGTGGTTGATCCTAATGTTACTAGACTTGTTCGTTTAATTCAATCACAATCACATCATCCAGAAGTCCATAGGAACTTTGAAAGGTATTGCAATGTGGGATGAAATTCCAACAGAGCAATAAATGCTATAAAAAATCCAAATCGATACAAACAGTAAAAGCTATGGTCATATACTCCTGAATAAGTAGCTATGCATACTAAATAAAGATGTGAAATATAAAAGGGCCTGATTTTTTGATTTTGATTTGGTGCGTCAAGCAGTAGCTCTCTGTTATTTTTTGTACTTATCCTTGTGCGTCTAGCTAATTTGGTAAATTCAATTAAGTCCTTGCATTTTTACTGCTTTTGGCCAATTCTTTCTTTTGACGTAGCTGGTATATCGCATATTGCTACTAAGTTGTTTTATGAGGCTAAAATTGTTGCCTCAGTGCTTCTCAGTCTTTCGCATGGGGTATATCTCGTTTGGCGTGTTCCACTTTCGTATTTTCAGGAATCCATGGACTTGGTATCCGAGTGTAAAATTTTGCAGGAATTTTGTGGGTCTGATGCGTTATATTTTAAAAGATGCGATTATGGCTCAATCAAAGGCTTTTTTGTCTCGACTCCTGCAGTACCATGTATATACTTAAAAGTTCGAGAATCATTCCCTATTATTGCAACCACTTTGCTAACAGAGAAAAAAGCTTCTGAGAAAGACGACGGCTTCCTGGAATACAGGATTGATGTACTTCCTCGTGTTTTTGTCAGCTTTTATCAAAGTGTTGATATTTCCAATAGCCTCTCATTTATCATACGCTGTGACTGGCTTCAGTCAGACAAGATAAAGGCAATCGATGATCGGTTGGTATCAATTTACGAAGAACACATCATGGATTCTCCTCTGGGTTCCCATTTTACCTTCATTGAGCACGAACTCCTCGCGTTTTTGTTCCCTAGCATTTCTGGGTCCGGTGTGACTATGATTTTCGAGTCAGCTGCGCCGGAAAATATCCGAATAGTTAACTTTATTATTGAACACAATGAGCAGAAGCTGCGAGAAATTTCCCCTGAAAAGATTTACTTATGTGAAGTTTGTCTTGATGGTGTTCCTGGCAAACAAAGTTTTCGCTTCAGTGCTTGTAGTCACCTATTTTGCCGCAAGTGCATCCGTGATACCTTTGAAACCAATTTGAATTCTGGTTTACCAGGCGGATCGCTAAGGTGTCTGGCGTGTGATAGGGAAGTTGCACCGTTCGAGGTAAGAATTGTTTGCGATTCCCAATTAAGTTCGATCATCTTCATCCCAGTGTCTTAGATTAACATTACAAGGCCCCTTTTTCGTTTTTAATTATGTCTATTTTCCAACTGGAATCATTACAATAATACGTCTGAGTGTGGTCGAGATAAATTTCCACAAGCAGTTTGCTGGGATGTTTGCGGTTCCAGTTTTTGCAACCAATTAAGGATAAAATTTACACATTTTGGTGATTTTTTCACTTGCATCAGGTATCGCTTCTTAGTAGATATATTAGTTTCTGCGGTCGATGTGCATCAAGCACATTTTAAATATCTCATCATTCTATGTTTCTAACGGAGTTTACTTTTTTGAGATACGGAAAGTGGCCCTACTGTCAATCAGCCATAAGGTGTTGTTTTTCTTCTAACAGATTCGTGCTTTGCTCTCGAAGGAACTGTACGAGCGATATGAAATGGTACTTCTTGCTAGAGCGCTGGACCAAATGTCGGACATAGCGCAATGTCCCAGAAAAGATTGCCAAACTAGTGTTGTTCTTTTATCACCGTCTCTTGGAAAGTGTTCAAAGTGTGAACTCTGCTTTTGCCCAAAATGCAGGAGAACCTATCACGGTGAAGGTAATTGCACATCCATCTTGCCCTTTGGGGATATCACATTAGGTAAGCTTGATACACTTCTTCAGTATGCTTTGTGAACCTGGACTTGCAGTGATAATGACGTGTTTTGGGTGAATTTTCAAACCAGGACAGTTAGTACTCTGGGGTACTTTTGAACCGAATGGTCCATATTATTGAAAATTCAAGTACATTGACAAGTGTGTCTGAAAATGAGTTTTGTGGAGCCTTAGACAATACTTACCTATTTTCGATAGACTTTTTTCCCGATTGCTATATGTATTGTTTCATTATTTCTTTTTTTTGCCCTTGGAAACTCACGTAGATTCCGTCTAGTTAGATGCCGCTTGAGTAATTCAGGTCTAATATCCTTTTTTCCACGTAGAGGAGGTCGCAGAAATATTTGAAGGCACTGATGAGGAGCTTAAGCAGACATTGATTGGGCGATTCGGTGAAAACAGCCTGAGAAATCTTTTGAGTGAGCACTATACTCTTAAATATAAGGCAGAGAAAACCCAGCGATGTCCTAGGTGTCAGGCATATGTTCAGGTAATTTTATTACTATCTTTAACCCTTCTTGTGATACCATTGAACCTTGCCACCTACATGGCTAGCATTAGGTTACTTAAGTCATTGCTCCGTTCTTACTGTTATTTGAGCAAACTGGTCTTTATTATGCATTCGGCATTTGCCGTCTTGACGTATTACGAATATCTTATTTATTCTCATTGTCCAATCAAACCGTCGTGCCGAAGGCCCCACAGTTGGTCTTCATATGTCTGTTGTAGAGAATGGAAGGCTGCAATGCTATGCAGTGCTCTCTCTGTGGCGAGGTCTTTTGTTGGCTGTGCTTGAAAAGGCTCGATGC